GGAGTAATAGACTGTACGCAAAGCACAGTGGACAGCAATCTGGTCAAAGCCAATACACAGCTGTAGATTCATCAAAAGCAACCGCTCATATAAAACAGCCACGTTAGCCAGTAGGGGTCAACTGTGGTGGTCAAAAAGGTTAGCGATCAACCGCTCATATAAAACAGCCACGTTAACCAGTAGGGGTCAACTTTGGTGGTCGAAAAGGTTAGTGATGGCTCTGAAGATTGAATGAAAGAAGCGGTCATGACCATCCACCGCCCCAACTTCTCACCATAAAGTTTCTCTCCCTCGGTCATGCCAACACCGCTAAGGCAAAAGAGGATTACCACACTAATCGCTACACTATTTAAGGAAAGTCAACAAGTATCAGACTTCCTTTTTTTTTTTTTTTTTTTTTTTTTTTTTTTTTTTTTTTTTTTAGAGGTTTTTTTTTTTTTTTTTTTTTTTTTTTTTTTTTTTTTTTTTTTAAACCACCAGTACCTCCGAGCCTGTTTTTGCCGACCCTGATTTATAGTGCGCGCCGAATTTTACCTTACCTGTGTCCCGCGGAACCTCGGACTCTGTTTCTGTTTTTTTTTGTTTTGAAAACGGTAACGTTTCCACTTGTGGCCTTGTCGTCCTCCCGTACGGTCCAACGAACGGACACGTCTATGGGCGGGATCCCTCTGGTTCCTGGCATGTTTTGTGCCCGGAATTATTTTTTTTTCGAATCTGTGTATTTTTTTATTTTTTTTTTCAGGCCCCGACCGTCGTGTCGCTTCGCCGGCGACCGGTACCGTGGAGTGCTGGCCGGTGGACGTCGACACGTTGGCCAATGGAGGGACGCGGCCGTTTGCCATCGCCGCCGTCACGTCCCGACCTTTGTGTGTGTGTGTGTGTGTGTGTGTGCGTCCATGCACTACTCTTGAAATGCAAAAAAAAATCAACAAAAAAACGAACCTTTCTATGTTGTGGCGGAAGATTCACTCTCTTTTTGCACCTTTGAAGAGTAGTGCAGTGAGGCCCTGTGTTTGTGTGTGTGTGTGTGTGTGTGTGTGTGTGTGTGTGTGTGTGTGTGTCTTATCAATGCCCTGCATTGACCCAATCGACATAGTCCATGACGTCATGTCTTCCCAGCGATTGGCTGTGGAAAGTGCATGGCAGATCTCTCTCTCTCTCTCTCTCTCTCTCTCTCTCTCTCTCTCTCTCTCTCTCTCTCTCTCTCTCTCTCTGGCCATGTACCAATCGTTTCGTCGTCGTCGTGTATATAAGTTAGTTGTCATCGTCATGGATGTCAACTTCAACTTCGAAACGATAAGTACGACGTTGGATGTGACATCCATCGCCACAACTATCGGTTAGTCTCCTGCGACTCCCGTCTCTCTCTCTCTCTCTCTCTCTCTCTCTCTCTCTCTCTCTCTCTCTCTCTCTCTCTCTCTCTCAACAGCGATTTCGTCAAAACGGACATTTTATATTTTTTGAACGAAATTGAAATTGTCATTTTTGAGCTGATTTAGGTGCAAAAACCATTACAAAGAGATGTTTGGTATATGGGGTAAGGTGTAACGTGTAAGGTGTAAGGTGTAAGGTGTAAGGTGTAAGGGGTGAGGGGTAAGGGGTAAGGGGTAAGGGGTAAGGTGTAAGGGGCAAGGTGTGAGGTGAACGGGGTAAGGTGTAAGGCGTGAGGTGTAAGGGATATGTGGTAAATTGCAAGGGTCAAGTGGCACAGCGTATCGAGTAATATTTGACACCTTATATACATTGTTTTTGTCACAAACCATCTTGTGGCATCCCCCCCCCCCTCCAAATCATATTATGGATTATCATATACACACTACTCACGAGCCACTGTGTCCAAAGCCATTTGACGACGTATCGCGGGTATATCATCAGCAGTGAAAACGAAAGGTGGAAGTTGGCCCCGTGCCAAGAGTGATGCGTACGTGAGCACATGGACCCCGCACTCGTTCGTGTCGTGTTGCTTCGGAATGCCCTCTACATGCCATATGTGATTGAATGGTTTCGTGTCCACCTCTTTGCCTTGCGATTTCGATCTTTCGAATATAAACTTTGCAAACCCGCCGGTCACCTTTCTCGCCAACTCCATGTCGGGGTCGAGGGAGTCGTAAAATTCGAATTTCCTCCTCCTGAAGTCAGCCACGACAAGGGTCCAGTGGTTCTTGTGTTCGATATGGAAAAAAACAATAATCAAGTCTATGTCACTTATGATAACGTTCTGACACCAGCGTTGTACCTATCGACCTCTATATCTCATTTAATTGTCGAAAAGTTTGATGAACAAAAATGAGCTCAGCACCGATACTCTAGGAATGCGACCCTTTCCTTCTCTAATAACTATCTCATTCTCCGCGTCGCATTCTACGTGTTGTATTCTACACTAGTTGTCCAATGCTATGAGATTGAGGTAAAAGTTGATGACATTGTCGTTTAACCACTGACGTTCTACAACGAGTAAAAGGAAATGGTTGCGAGTGAGTTGCAACACCTCGTTCACGGATACGTCGTGTGTGGTGGCTATGGGATACCTATTCCCGTATTCGCGGATGATACGCGTCAAGGCTGCCGTCTCCCTTTTTGATAAAGACAAAGTTGCGAGATGCATTGTCCATTCTCTTTTGCACAATCTTGTATCAGTTGTTGTCATTTACACTGCACACCACAAACATGAGGAAGACGACATTCACGCGGGCGGATGGGGAAAGGATGGTGAGTGCATGGCCAAATGCTTTGTGGGAGCCAATGCATGCAATGCATGTTTTCAATGTTTCTCTAATATTTTACTTGCGTTTACGACATTCACATATACAATCAATCATTTATTCCTCGCACCTTGGGCACCCTCATTGCATACGTCCGCATACACGCATCCAAGTCGGAACGAGAGAGAGAGAGAGAGAGAGAGAGAGAGAGAGAGAGAGAGAGAGAGAGAGAGAGAGAGAGAGATCCATTAGGTCGAACGTAATATTGAGGGAAAATATATATATACATAAAAGAAAATCAGGTGGTTGAAGACTAATACTAGTTTCGTTTGAAACTAAAAACAAACGAAGACTAATACTAGTTCCATTTGAAACTAAAAACAAACGAGTCAATTGTGCGATTTCAATCAACAAAGAAAAGAATAACATTGTAATCATATCGTTGTTTTCTTCCTCTCCATTGCCCCCCTCCCGCTTCACCGATCATTTCACACTCCCCTCGTATTGACCACGTCATTTCCACCCTCACCCCCATAATGAAAATCATCGGTTAAGGTATCAAGATTGTGAGGATGGAGGATTTCCTCCACATCCCCTCCCTTCCCACCATCAGCAGCGGCTCCTCCCTGTGGTGTCAGCGGTGATTGTGCATCACCTTTGCCTGTGCATAACTCCGGTTGCAACTGACTTTCTGGCACGCTCAGGCCAACACATGACTCTGACTGCATTTCGGATGTGCCTTCTAATGCGGCGCATGTCTGTAATAAACTCCCGTACGTCGCACCTGCATCTGACGACAATACGTTTGCCCCATTCATGCGTTTGGACAGTTTTGTCGTGGGGGCGGAGATTTGCGGCATAGACGTCATGTGAACCTCTTGAGTCTTCACCACAATAGTCCCGTCATCCTCCCTCTGCCCCTGCCTGCGTGGGTACGGGGGGCGATGCCGACAAAGGCACGGCATCCTGAGAGCTGCTCTCCTCCATGGTTTCGATAGTTTGATTGACCTTCCAGTCGATTGACCCACATGACGGACTCATTCGCAGGGCGTAAAATTTCCAACTGTACTCCAACTGCTGACTGTCTCGCAATACAGAAAATAATTCTTTGGCCTTGTCTTTGACAGCGCCCTCGCTCTGCCCCGAATTCTCCTTTTGCACGCGATACATAATCGCGAGTTCCGTCGTTTTCAACCAAGTGTCCTTTGACATCCGGCGAAACGTCTGCCATCCGCGTATGTATTTGACCGCCATCTTCCACTCCCCATCTTGGATGCAAGGCTAGAAAATGCCCTCATGCCACACGATGTCATGGACCCACTTGTCCTCTCCAGTGCGGGCGTGTTTGCCCCCCAAGAAATAAATTGTGGTCGGATCAGCACAATAGCCGGGAGGAATTTGATCGCCTGGTGCGAGCTTCGACGCCACCCCCGGCATATCAATCTTATCTTCATCATTGGGACCACATATTCCCATGTTTGGCAAACCGGTGCCCTCCATGGGGGCCACCATCGAGCCAACACTGCGGGCGGCCACCGGTATGGGTCTTTCATGCAAGCGAACGGTCCCTTCATCGTGTGACCGCACCATGCCACCGGTCGGACCTTCACCACCCTTGTCCTTGTCCAATTCGAGGTCGGACTCAGAAGAGTCTTCCTCGCTGTCGACGGGGTTAAAGCCGTCACCCGATTTCGCGAGGTCAGCGTAGTCCTTGGACGTCAGCTGGTCTTTATGAAGATCAAACTTCAGGATCTCGCATCGAACAACCAAAGTCTAAAAGGCGCCAGTAAGAGCACCGTAATAATGTTTCGGGGTCTTTGTATCCTTTGCTCTCCTGTAGATGTAATTCCCGTCAAGTCGTCCTTGCGACGCATCGCGGAACAGGTATTCCCACACCTTCGGTCTCTTGCGTCCCAACTTGTGGAACATGTCCCTGTTGCTACGATGTTTGCAACGTGGCTTCTCGACATGACAGTCGAATCTCTCATCTTTCACAAGTATATCGACGAACTTTGTCAGGTATGCAATGTCTTTGGCCAACTCGTCGCAGGCAATGACATTATTACCTGCCAGTAATAACTCCCACACAAGACCTGCGTGCGCTCTACCCAACAAAAACACACCTTCCGCGTCTCCGACAAATGACCCGCACAACGAACGTAACTTTCCAGGTTCTCGCTCCCAGATGGAATACACCGCACTATCATCGCCCTCCATCCCACCTTGTTTTCCTTGACACTTCCTGAACTTCTCCTCCACAACGTGCACGGTTGTGAGGTCGTTGTCGAGTCGGGGTTTGACAGTTACTTTTTTCAGATCCCCTCCCTCGGCGTGCAGGGCAATGGCCATCATATCTCGACTCGTTGTAGCCATATTGCCATATCGTGTGATGTCGTTCGGTGGCCTGTCCACCCGTTTCCAGGTCCCGAGGATGACTTCGACGTCCTCCCAGCGGAACAAGTGATGCAGAACATCGCTTTGCACCTTCTGCGGCGCAAAGAAGAAAAGCACCCAATTCCGGCCACAACACTTGGTCATCAATATGTGCAAGGCATCAAATTCGTGAGAGGTCCACGTCGTGCTGAAGTTCGAGGATGGGATGTCCACGATAGCGGCCCTGCATGTCATTTTTTGCGCTGCAGCGACGATGTCATCTGGCGCTGCCAACACTTCCTTCGATGGCATGCACACAGGTAGCAACGTCGTTTGTTTGCCAAGCTTGTCCCACACAATATGACGCGCGCTCCGTTTCACCTCGGCACGAAGCAAATCAAGCTTATCGATTGCAATGTATATGAAGACCTTAAGGTGAAACGGAGCCTCCTTATACATTGCCGTCGTAGGCCCCAAGCCCGCACCTTGCCTTGCCTCCTCCACTCCTCCAAGTCGTCGAGGGACCATCTTCACCTTATTGACATGTAACTTGTCCCGTTCCTTCTCCCATTCAGCAGCGCACAGACCGTTTGGCCCATACCTGTCTTCAAGGTCCTTGTACGACATGAAGAACGCGTCGTTTCATTCGCTGTTCGCGCCCTTCCCTTGGCGCGGAACAGAACATAATTGAACATACGCACCATGTACCGCTCCTTTCGCATGATGTCGAGGAGGCACTCTGGGTTCACTCTTGGAGGCAAGACCTTGACGTTCGTTGCGACCACCTTCCCCTTCATGAGCAGGAGCAACGCAACCTCCCTCTCACGACATGTCAAATCCCCAAAATGTTTGAAGTAGGAAGGACAGAGATCCTTCCACGACATGGTGGAGCCTTTGGAACCATCTGTTGCATATATGCAATGGTACAATGTTCTTTGTCCCTTGGTCTCGTCGGTGTACGGGCCTGGCAGGCGGCCTCCCATCCTCCCGGGCATGTCAAGCGGGATTTTGCCATCGCCAACTGGCAGCTTTCCTTCGTTGAATATCTCGAAGAAGCTCTTGACCAGCGGCCACACTGCGTCACTGGATGTGGCGAGCTTCATGTAGCTGTGGAGTTTATTACTCCAATCCTTACTGTACTCATTCTCGAGAGCTTGCTTTACAAACGACTTGTTGCATGCCTTCCCCATGCAGGCCCTCAAGAAGTTCTGCCACGTCTTCTGATGTGCAACGGCCACCGCATCCTTCTCGCTGACCTTGGCTTTCGGGGCCTCGATTCTATTGTTGTCTATCCACCATTGCCTGATGTCACGGACAGCGTCCTCGAATGACAACATCATGGAGCGATTTTCTCGTGTGTTGTCGAAGCAGGAGACATTGAAATACCCTCGTGTTTGATCATCTCCGAAATAGATCACCCGCACCTTAGAGTACGCGTTGAGGCCATAGACTTTAACTGCTGGGGAGTCCTTTCAGACCAATCTCTTCATGGCCTCAACTGTATGCTGACCACACACAGAGATCCTTCCATGCGGGATCTTTTTGGAAGGAAATGTGCAGCAACAAGAAAAGGAAAATGGAGCACTTTGTTTTTTTACTGCCGAGAAAAGGTGGCGAGATGGCCAAGTTCAGGCGGAAAGATGGTTGGTCGTCGTGCATCTAATGTCTGTTCAATCACTGAAACACGAAAAAAACTCTCTCTCTCTCTCTCTCTCTCTCTCTCTCTCTCTCTCTCTCTCTCTCTCTCTCTCTCTCTCTCTCTCTCTCTC